TTCAAAAAAATAAATTCAAAAAATTGAAACCAAACACACTGATAAATACTCTTTTCATATTGATTAAAAACAAAACGCTAAAATTTATATTAAACACAAAAACTAACGACCAATTAAAGAGTTCAAAAAAATTAACCAAAAAGTTTTAAAAAACACAATTCACTGTGTTTGGTTTGAGTTTTTTTGATTAAGTTTTTTAAAAACTGAGTTTTTTTATTTTCGTGCTTTTTTTTTTTAGTGAATATTTTTAAAATTTTAAACATTTTTTTTTACTTTTTTAGATGCACCTTACTTAGATGTGTCTAAAAAGTAAAAAAATTGTGAAAAAATATTTTAAAAAATTAAGAAATACATAAAAATACAAAAAATGTACTAAATTCTTGTATTTTTGGTATTTAGTGAATTTTTAAAAGATTTTTTTTACAATTTTTTTACTTTTTAAGTGTATTTATGTTAGGTGTGTCTAAAAAGTAAAAAATTTGCATAAAATATTTAAAAAATTCAGTAAAAACAAAAAAACACAAAAAATAAGAGTGTAGAATTTTTTGAAAACTATTTTTAAAAAATGGGAACCAAAGTTTTAAAAATATGTTTTGCAGATAGAAAGATCACATTGAAAACACATTTAAAATGATGTGTCAATAATATTTTTAAAATTATGAAAATAGAGGATCATAATAAACGAAATCATTCTTTATGAAAATTTTATATAAAAATTGTGATGTACTAAAAATTGAAATTTCTATACTCCCATATTTTTTAATCAATCCTGAATAAACCAAAGTTGACATATAAATTAGGAAGTTGCAAAAGGAATAAAATATAAGAAAATTGTAAATAAGTGGTATTTTTACAAAATATTTACAAATTCATGAAAAAATTTATTATTTTTTAGTTATTAAAATTGATAAACTTTTTCACTTATTTGTGAAAAAATTTAAAACTTGAACTGAAGTGCAATTTGCTTTAAAATATTTTGTCTAACACGCCTTACTAGATGTTTAAAGTTTACTTTTATAAAAAAAATTTACTTTTGATATTTTAAAAGTTAAAAAAATAAAAGAAAAAATGTTTGGGAAGTTGTTACAAAATTCTTTCTATAATTAAGAATATTAATGTGATATTTGACTTTTTATTGCATAATAAATAATTTAGTATCTTTCTAATTATTTTAACCGATTTTTTTTATAGGTTTCAAACAATCATTTCGGCCTTGTTTGGCAAGTTAACATTTTAGTCAAAAAATCAAAAAGTTATTAAAAAAGTCAAAAAACCTATAACATATACAAAAAAGTCAAAAATTTCATTTTCTCTATATTTTTTGCACATCTTTTCGTAAAAAGTAAAAAAAGCACCCCAAACATACTATTTTTTTTACCTCATATTTTAATTAAAAAATCAAAAAATTAATAAAATAACATATTCCCAAACGAGGCCGATTTCTAATTAGATCTATCCAACGTTGGTTGGTTTTGACCAAATTAGAATAATGTTTTAAGGCCTTATATATATAATCAAAACATAAACAATTTTTTTATTTATTTATTTATTTTTTTAGATGGGCAAAATATGATGGGCAAAATATAAACAAAAGTTGACATATACATTAGGGGGTTGCAAAATGGATAAAATATTGATCTCGTGCCATCATGCCGTGCAAGTTGTCACGCCTTACTCCTAATTGAATCTATCCAACGTTGGTTTGTTTATGACCAAATTCTAAGGCCTATTTTAAAATTTGTTTATTTTATTTTATTTTTTATAAATATTGTGGGGATAAATGTAGTGCCTGGGGGTAGGAAGTAGGCTATTAGAGTTAATACTTGATGCAGTGGCCCAGTTAGAAATTGAGTGAATGGATACAAATTAATGATAATATTAATTTTGTTTTTTTATAATAAGTAATAATGAGATATTACTAAATTTAAATATTAAGAGTTTTTGTAGTTTATGTTTTTCTAAAAATAAACAAAAAATAAACAAAAACCAGTTTATAAAATTTTTGTAAATATAAACTGAAAACGTAAACGTTACCAAGCATACCCTAGATGTTTAAAGTTTACTTTTATAAAAAAATTTTACTTTTTGATATTTTAAAAGTTAAAAAAATAAAAGAAAAAATGTTTGGGAAGTTGTTACAAAATTCTTTCTATAATTAAGAATATTAATGTGATATTTGACTTTTTATCGCATAATAAATAATTTAGTATCTTTCTAACTATTTTAAACGATTTTTTTTTATAGGTTTCAAACAATCATTTCGGCCTCATTTGGCAAGTTAATATTTTAGTCAAAAAAATAAAAAGTTATTAAAAAAAGTCAAAAAACCTATAACATATACCAAAAAGTTAAAGATTTCTTTTTTTTCTATACTTTTTACACATCTTTTCGTAAAAAGTCAAAAAGTCACCCTAAACATACTATTTTTTTTACCTCATATTTTAACTAAAAAGTCAAAAAATTACTAAAATAACATGTTTCCAAACAAGACCGATTTCTAACTAGATCTATCCAACTTTGGTTGGTTTTGACCAAATTAGAATAATGTTTTAAGGCCTTATATATATATATATATATAATCAAAACATAAACAATTTTTTATTTTATTTTTATTTTTATTTTTTTAGATGGCCAAAATATAAACAAAAGTTGACATATACATTAGGGGGTTGCAAAACGGATAAAATATTGATCTCGTGCCATCATGCCATGCAAGTTGTCACGCCTTACTCCTAATTGAATCTATCCAACGTTGGTTTGTTTATGACCAAATACTAAGGCCTATTTTAAAATTTGTTTATTTTATTTTATTTTTTATAAATATTGTGGGGATAAATGTAGTGCCTGGGGGTAGGAAGTAGGCTATTAGAGTTAATACTTGATGCAGTGGCCCAGTTAGAAATTGAGTGAATGGCTACAAATTAATGATAATATTAATTTTATTTTTTTATAATAAGTAATAATGAGATATTACTAAATTTAAATATTAAGAGTTTATTTTGATAAATGTAAATTTTAAATTATAGAATTTGAAATTAAATTTTATATAAATATTGGAGAGTAACTATGTTAGGTAGATTGAAAAATTAAAAAATAAGATAAGTTGAGATAGAAATGATATATTTTAATAGAAAAATTCTATAAACACATTGCAAAGAAAGAGTCTATTATATGTCGCAGTTATGATTTTCATGATCTTTAATTATGATACATTGTATTGTTAGATATAACTTAATTATAACTTCTTGTGATTGTTATTTTGGTTATGACTGAAGAGGTCTTTAGTTATACATCAAGTAATGATTAGTTATGACTTATTCTGATATTAGTTATAATCTATTGTGATTTTTTTATTTTTTATTTTATAATTAAAGATGTGTTGCTTAATTATAATTTATATAGTAGTTTTGTATAGTGATTAATGATTACAAAACCACTATGATTTGCAACTAGTTTTAAAAAACACAATTAGTGGTTTTGTACAGTGATTACTAAAACAAGTGAATATATTTTTCTAATTTTTAAAAATTTTGAAAATTTTATAATCAATTCAATTTTATTTATTTTTTTAATAAAAACGTTATAACGAACCACCTCTAATATTTCAAGGACTAGGCTAAGGCATGTCTCCTATTCACATGGTTTGGACCAGTCCAATCTGGGTCATAGGTCCACCACTACACCTATTTTGACAATTCAATTGATTAATATTTTAGATTTTAATATATAAATTATTTATAAAAAATTCAAATTGAACTAATAATTATTATCATATGATTTCAATACATTTATCTTTAAAAAAAAGCACAACAAGTATACAATTGGTAACAATACATTCATTTTTTTAAAGACAAATACATTTAAGTTATGTTAAACTTAAACAAAAGATGGACATAAAAGTCTTCGTTTGGGATGTGGATTGATTTTTTTTTACTATTTTAGCTTGGAGCTAAAGTCTCATTTGAGATAGACTTTTTGGTAATAAAATGATTATAGTTTGAATGTGATATTTTGTTCTATTTGACTAAAATAACCAATTTTATCTTATATAACTAAATTAGCCCAAACCGACATGCCAAACAGAGAATAGAAAATTTTACTAACGCAATAGGTTTTGATCTTCTAAATCACTTTCATAACAATGATCAAATTCAAAATTAGGCCAAAACACTCTGCATAACGAAAAAGTTTCTCTAAGCAATATTGCAGGACAACACATGAGAGGTACTTACAAATTCAATATGCAATTCCCTAATATAATAAATCTTTTCCTTTTTTGGCCAATTGGCACATTTGGTTTTTCCTCCAAAACATTTTCCAATTGAAAACATATATACTTTCATTTTGTCTTTAATATCAAACCTCTTAATCAAATTCTTCCACTTTTATATATGTTTTAAATTTTTTATTTTAGTTCATGTTCAAAACAACTTATTCTTCTTCTTTTTTTTCTTAGTTTTCTTTTTTTAATCAATTTCTTTTACGACATTAGTATATAATACTGGAGCTATAGAAAAAAATTGTTGCAAATAATCCTATTTTACCTCATTTCTTCAACACGGTTAAATGATTTCAACATACAACTATTAATGTGAATCTCAGAATTTTGAAAAAAGTTAGGGATCATGAAAATTTTCTCATGAAAATAATCATGAAAGAGTTATGATTCTTGGATTACCTTGATTAATGTGTGGTGTTTTATTTTAAGTGTAATCTAAGGATTACAAAATTTTCATGATTATTTTCATAAAATTTTTTTCATGATATCTAACATTATTGCAGTATCTTATTTTCAATCACGAAAAAACTGGTAAGAAATTAAAAGTAATTTATTGCATAGTACTTGCACGCGTCAAAATACCGTTCGCTTACTTCCTAATTCTTTGCCATGTAAACCGCTCTCTTCTTTCACAAACCAAGAGTCTTAACTGCTCAAATACCCATACGCATCTCCTAATTTTTTTCCTTTAATTTCAACAAGACCATTTGCATTTGCATGCTATGCATGATTTTCAAAGATGAAAAACCCAAACTCATTACACAACCATCAACAAATACTTTGGCTTTTTCTTATTTCAATTCTGATCTCAAACATCTCATTTTGTGCTTGTGAGATAAAAAACACTCGCATCATCGATGATGCAAGGCCAATGATCTTGTTTGAGCGATTTGGGTTTGCCCAAGACGGGCACGTGGCCATTTCCATAAAAGATGTTTCATGGAAATCCAAACATCACAATGCAAAACTTGATCCTACTTCCATGGGGTTCTTCCTCGTCAGAGACATCTCCTTCCCACGAATCTTGAATGAGTCAGAGTACACCGAAGGCTTTTGCGTTCTATCGAGCCAATTTGTGAAACTTATATTCAGACTTGACAAGCTCGCTGGTGGCTTAACCTACAATGGTTCTGTAGCCATCGAGGAGCCAGACAAGTATAATTTGATATTTGGAAATTGCCAACCAGAATTTGAAGTCACGATGAACGTTCATACGGAGATGTACAATGTACGAAATGATGGTACAAAGGATTTCCTTCCTGCAGGCCAAACCCTAATGCCAAAACTCTATTTTCTCCTTTTCCTCATCTACACCATTTTTTTGGGTACATGGATTTTCATTTGTATCAAACAAAGATCAACCGTTGATCGAATTCATTTAATTATGTGTGCATTGCTTTTGTTCAAAGCACTCAAACTCATTTGTGCGTCAGAGGACAAGATGTACATAACCAAAACGGGCACGCCCCACGGTTGGGATGTTGCGTTCTACGTGTTTGGTTTCTTCAAAGGTGTCATTCTTTTCACTGTCATCGTCCTCATAGGCACCGGTTGGTCATTCCTAAAACCATACCTTCAAGAGCGTGAAAAGAAAGTCTTAATGGTAATTATTCCATTACAAGTTTTAGAAAACGTAGCTTCTGTTGTAATCAGCGAAACGGGGCCTGCTATGAAGGATTGGTTGATGTGGACTCAGTTGTTTTTGATTTTTGATGTGGCATGTTGTTGCGCTGTGCTTTTTCCTATCATTTGGTCGATCAAAAGCTTGAGAGAGGCATCGAAGACGGATGGAAAGGCTGCGAGGAATTTGGGGAAATTGACTTTGTTTAAACAGTTCTACATTGTTGTGATTTTGTTCTTGTACTTCACTAGAGTGATGGTTCCGGCGATTGGGACGGTGGTGAGTTACAGATATGAATGGGTTGCCGTCGCAGCGGCGGAGGGTGGGAGCTTGGGTTTTTATTTGTTCATTTTTTACAACTTTCAGCCCATAGAGAAAAATCCGTACTTGGTGATTGATGATGAAGAAGAAGCTACTGCAGGTCACATATTGGAAGCTGACGATTCATTCGACCTCTAAGGTTAAAGACTTGAGAGAAAGAGAGAAAAAAAAAAAAAAAGAAGAAAAAAAAAGAAGTAGACATTAGAAATGCATCAAATGAGGTGAGGTTAAAGAGGGCATGAGATCCTTCGTGTAATATTTATTTATTTTTTATTTTAGGTTTTTGGTGTTAGTGTTTAGTATAACTTTCATTTGTAATTAGACAAAAAATTGTTATTAAAAAGTTTAAGTGGAAATATTTTTTATTTCTACTTTTTAGTAATTAACTTCTAATTTAAAAAAGAAAAAGAGGATTAATTGCATTTTAAGTCTCATAAGTATATGTTTGATGTTATTTTGATCATTAATATTTATATTGTGTCAATTTGGTCACAACATATAAGAGTGTTTCAATTTGGTGATGCTGAAATAGTAGATGTGTGGTTGTGTTTTGTCAAGAAAAATGGTGGCATGAGTGGTGGAAAGGGGTAGAACTGGTTGTGAGTGGTGGAGAAGGGGGTGGTGTGGTCATGAATGAAATGGGAGAGAGAGAGAGAGAGAGTAGTGTTGGGTGGTGGAAGAAAAAAAGGCTCGAGGATAAAGAGTAAGGGCAATGATGGGTGGTGATGAGCTAATGGGGGAAAGGTTGAAAGTGGCAGAAAAAAATGTAAGAGTTGCCATGGGTAGTGGGAAAATGCAAGGATTGGGAGAACAAAGACTAAGAATAGTAAAAGAAGGGGGGTCGGTAGTTGTGGGTTTAGAAATTATAGTACATAGTTGTGGGTTTCGCCAAGATTACCCATATTGGTTGCTTTCAGCACTTTATGCAAGTCCAAACAACAACATGAGAGATGAGCTATGGGAACACATGGAGGAAATTGCTCAAAATATTATTGAACCTTGGTTAGTTGTTGGTGATTTTAATGATTTCACACCTAATGAAAAATGAAGTTTTCAAGGAAACCAAAACCAAAATTTGAGCCAAGACCAGAGGAGAAGCAAAAAATTCAACGAGAGGAGAACAACATTGAGCTTACTAGTAGCATAACAAATGAGGAGGTTTGGAGGGCCGTGAAGAACATTAATGCTTTTAAGGCCCCTGGGAAGGATGGGTTTCAAGTTGTGTTGTACCACATTTACTGGTCTATTATTGGACCCTCTATTTGTGATTTTGTGAAAAACTATTTCCTTAACAAATATATCCCTTTTGATGTTACAAAAACTCTTGTTGCTTTGATACCCAAAATTGATAACCCTGAGAGTATTAAATAATTTAGGCCCATCAGCCTTTGTAATGTGTCCTACGAAATTATTTCTAAAATCATTGTAAGTAGGATCAAACCTCTTTTGAACAAAATTGTTAGACCTAATCAATGTAGTTTCATCCCTGGTAGAAATACCAGTGATAACATCATTATTTCTCAAGAGATCATCTATTCTTTGAATCAAAAAATGGGCAAAAAAGGAGGTATGATTTTAAAAATTGATTTGGAAAAAGCTTATGATAACATTTTTTGGGATTTCCTCAAACAAACCCTTTTTGAATTTGATTTTGATGTTAACCTCATTGATCTCATCATGTGTTGTGTCACTAGTGTTAGCACTGCTATTATTTGGGATGGTGAAACTCTACAAGAATTTAAACCTAAAAGAGGACTGTAGCAAGGAGATTCTCTCTCTCCTTATCTCTTTGTGTTATGTGTGGAGAGGCTATCCAATATGATTAGCTTCCAAGCTGAGAACAAGCTTTGGAAAGGGATTGAGGTCACTAGGGGTGGTCCTTCAATCACACACTTATTCTTTGTTAATGATCTCATGTTATTTGGGCATGCTACTATGTCAAATTGCAACACTATAATGAAGGTTATGGATGAATTTTGTAACATCTCTGGGTTGAAAGTTAATTCCCACAAGTCGAAGCTTTATGTATTCTCCTAATATCGAAAGAAGGAAAGCTAGAGACTTGAGCACCAAATGTGGTATTCCTTTAACTAATGAGTTACGGGAATACTGGGGTGTTCCCTAATTCATGGCAGAGTTAGCAGAAGGTATTTTAATGACATCCTTGACAAAATGCAAAGAAGATTGGCTAGGTAGAAAGCTAATGTGCTATCCTTGGCAGGTAGAGCCACTCTGATTAAATCAGTTAGCTCTGCTATTCCTTCTTACACTATGCAAACAATGTTGTTACCTAAAAAAGTGAGCAATGACATTGACAAATTGAATAGAAATTTCCTTTGAGGTGACACCCTGTAAAAAAACAAAATTCATCTTGTTAATTAGGATGTGGTGTGCAAAATGAAAAAGAATAGGGAGGCTTGGGATAAAAAATGTGAAAACCCGAATTTAATTATTCTAAAAAAAGAATAATATAAATAAATAAATAAATAAATTGATTAATTAATTAATAAATTTTATCTGGAGTTTGTTTGAAATATATTAGTGTATAAGTTAGTTTTAAATTAATCTAATTAAATCACTAACAAAGACATTATTAATAATAATAATTTTGTGAATATTCAATATTTATTGTTTATAAATTATTTTAATTAGGATTTAACATGATAATTATTCTTACTAATATACACACACACACACACACAAAATCTTAGTGTATCAATTTTGAAAAACCCATACAAATACACACACCACACAAAATAAAAAAAAAAAGAATTGAATTCTCGGTGGCAGAATAATGCCACCTGTTTGTTTGCATGTTAATATAGGAACCATAACCATATCATACTTCTTGGATTTAGAAGATACGAAGTGACCAGAGAGAATGATGAGAAGAAAGAGAAAGAAGGGAAAAGTCTCAGCATGTTTATATATATATGCATGCTACTCTATGATTAGAAAATGTAAAGGAAACTTGCGAAGAAAATCAGCAAAGTAGAGTAAGGGAATAAGAGGAGGAGGTTAAGAAGGTTGCATATTTTCTTACTATTTCACTATTCCATTTCAATCCTATAACTAAGTAAGAAAACCCTCTCAATCATCTCATTTTTTTTTAATTGTTGAAATTTTCAGATTATATTCATATGATAAAATGACTAACTTATAGATATAAATTTTTATATATATGTATATAAATTTTGTGATGTGTATATCAAATATTTGAAGATATTGATAATCTTAAAGTCATGATATTATTGTGGAAATAGGCTTGCATGTGTAGTTTATACCATTAAAGAGAGGATCGAAGATTTTGTTTGGCCCTTAAATCTGCCACAACATTTGTACGAATTTTTAGACAATTTTATACTCAAAATTTGGAGATAATTTCTTATAAAAAAGTTGTTGAGAATGATATCTAGTTCATCCAGGAATTTTTGAAACAATTATTGAGCTTTTTACAAATTTATACAAATTTTTAGGCCAAGTTTGTCTAAACTAAAAAAGTGTACTTATTTTATCTTTTTATCTTTTTTAGGCCACATTAATCAATATCTCCTCTCTACTTTTTCTACACATAATACAAGAAAAGTCAAAAAGTACACTTATTCATATTTTACTATATATTTGAAAATTTATTTAAAATTCTATATTAAACAAAATCTAGTAATTTCTAATAAAAGATGAAATTTGAGAAGTCTAGTTTCATAATAAATTTTTAGACTATGGAGTTGATCTATGAATTTAAGTATGAAATTAATTTAAGAAAATGTGATAAATCAGTGTCATAAAATTTTTGAGAATTTTAAAAAATTATTTATAACTTATTTTTGGGAAATTCTTTCTAAAAAGTGACCTAAACATTTTTATTGAATATTCTGTACATTTTCACGAATTTTAGAATTATATAAATAATTTATTTATAATTTTTATTATCTAAGGTATAACTTGAAATTTTCTGGACAGGTTTAAGATCATCACTTCAATCATTTATTTGGATAAAAATTAATTATTGTGCTGGTCCAATTTATCAAATATTGTAAATTAGTAATCCATGTATGAGTGTATTGTGGTTTATTTAATATTATGCTAGTCTAATTTTGTAAATTAAAAATTCATACATGTGTGTAATTATGGTTTATTTTCTTTATATCTAAGTTATTATATTCATATCATGGTTCAAATTAATTGTTTATTTAAATTTTTTAAATTGAATTATTATTGTGTGACATGTGTAATATTTTATGTTGGGAATTTTAGAGTTGGTATAACATTATTGGTGATTATGTTGGGAATTATTATAATGGCTGTTACATTTATCATGCTATTAAATTTTATCATTATTTTAATTATTATTATGGTTTGATTATTTTCTCTTAAAAAAAAAAAGAATGGTAGGTTAATTATATTTTCTTATTGTGTTGCAAAACTCATGGCATATATTTTGTTGCTCTAGCGTTTCATGCCAGATTATGTCAAAGAAGGGACTGAGGCTGAATTTGGAGCTGCTGCTTATATTGAACCTTGACTAACTTAAAGTCAAGACTTTATCAAAATAAAATTTTATTATCTCTTGTATTAGTACCTAAAAATGTTGTAACGTTGAATGTGAACTTGTAATTTTTTTTTGTGTTGTTAAACTTTAACCATGTGAGAATTTAAATTTTTCTAATTAGATGTTAAAATTTTTATTTAGCAAGTTATTTTGTTATTTAAATTTTATGATGCTCCAAAAATTTGGGGCGTTACAAAAAAAGTCAGAGACCAAAATCTGGCCTTGTTAACTAAGCTGGGTTGGAACATGGTTGGTGTAGACACCCCATTTTTTACGGCCCTTACGACTTGGATGTCCTCGTATGCACACCCGATGATGAGTTTATATGCTCGCCAAGTGCTCGAAGTCCTTAGCAGAATGCCAGCCTTTCAAATCCTGTACCTTTGTTGTCTCAATTTTGGACCAAGCCTAACTTTTCCAGCCTACAGCCTCTGGTGGCCTACCAGCCACCACTTTTGGGCTGCCGGCTACCAGTGTAGTTTGTAGATATTTTATGCCAACTGTGACAGCTGTTTACACAGATACATGCATCTATCCCCACGTGTAGGGCTGGATCTCCTTGAGGGAAATTCATGTTTTCTATATATATATGAGGCCCCTCTCTCATGTTTTAAGGTTAGAAAATTTTGAGATAAATTTTTTTCCTTTATCTCTACAATTCTCTCTCTCTCTCTCTCTCTCTCTCTCTCTCTATCAAATCGCTACACCTTTGCCTACAAATCTTCAACCTTTGCTTATACACCATTAACTAAATCTTCTCATCTTTGAGCTGAGGTATTCTTGAGCTTGGTTTGAACTTTAGAGGGTGTGTTTACATGATTTTGTTGCTTGGAATAGTTTCTTCTCTTCGAGAGATATAAGACTTTACTTGTAACTTCATTTTGTTTACTATTATTTCTACTATTTTTCCATTGTTTTGGGCTGTCAAAACTCCGCATTTTTGAGCTGAAACTTGTGGTTTAAGGCCTTAAAGGGTGGAGGGGTGGTTCATCCTTCTCTACACTTTTCTCTCAAGGCTTTTTCCCTTGTGTTTCCCACCTTTGTACTATCTTTTTTTGAGCTTTCAAACACAATTTTTCAGAGTTATTTCAGTGGCTAAAATCATGTTTTAAAGTCCAAAATTAGAGGGGTTAGCCTCCCCTTGTGTCTTACTTACTAGCCTAGCTTGTGCTATGTTTTAGCATATTAATCTAGCTTTTTTTGTCTTAATTCTAGCATGTTTTAGGACTATTTTTAGACTATTTTTGGTTGATAGTTGCATTTGAGTTTTGTTTTGCATACTTATAGTGTAATTGTCCTCATGAGCTTGGCGTTTTAGGCCTTAGACACCATCTCATTTGAGTTGATAACATTTATTTATGTTTTTCTCACTTATTTTCAGCACTAATAATCTTTGCAACCTCCTTCCTTTCTTGGCTTTTGTTTTGCTTTGAGAGTTGTTTCAAACCTCTTGTTCTTTTAAGCATGAGATTGAGGTTGTCATGCTTAATGGTTTAATCCTTTTTAGGGGTTCATTATCAACAGCATGACATCTCTTTCATGTCTTAAGTTAACTCTTGGTTTGGTACTTCACTCCATTAGATGACTTAAATTCATTATTGGACTTAATGAATTAAAGGATGGTTGGTAATCTAAAATGGGATAATTAAAATTGGGACTAAAATGGTGCAAGATAATAAAATGTTGTATTCAATTGGACATTAATTGAACACATGGAAGCTTTAGGTATTTAGTGATGAAATGGCTTAAGTTTCCAAGGTCACTACTCCCCTTGATCAACTCATGAAAGGGAGGAGGTTAGAGTGTTATTTTGTTGCATTTATTGAAATTGTACACTTTGGTTCATGAGCCATCATGCAATGAAATTGCTTGAGTTGATGGTTTATGGACCAAGTTCACTACTCCTTTGATTTGTTCATGAAACTGAGGGGTGAATTGTGCAAACAAACCCTTGAAAATACCATATGCATGCTCTGTTTGTTCTTTGTTGCAGCATGATGAACTGGACAGCAGTGGCCGGCAGGCCACCTTCCATGGCCAGCAGGTGGCCGACAGGCCTCATCACTGGCTGGCCGGCCACTGATGTAAAATTCAACATTGTGTTTCTGAGGCAAAGTAGAATTATTTTGGAAGTGGGCAACAGTGTGTGTGTTCTATTGCGTAACAGAGGCTCTTCGGAAGCAAAACAGTGACTTTTCAGGTGGAAACCAAGCACGTGCATGAGCATCCCTCGCATTCCGAGCTTGTTTAAGTTTAAATATTTAGATTACATATTTGTTGTAATTAATTAGTGGTAGCTAGTTATTCAATTTCGTGTTGTAATAATTAGTCAACTAGAATAGTTAGTTAATTCATTTGTTGTAATATTTGTTAAGTAGTTTAACTAATTTCATTTGTATGTAATAATTAGCTTAATTTGCTTAGCTTTAATTAGTTAGTTTATTGTGACGACCCCATCGTGTATAACAAATAGCACTTAATTAATTAAGGAGATTTGAATTTTAATTGCCCATTGTTCTAATTTAATTTGGGGTCATAAGAATTATTTAGTTTGATTCGTATATAATTCTATTGAGGATTTATTTTGGAATTAGAAATTGAAAGTCAACACGGCTCAAGAAAGTACAAATAGTGAATTGAATTATTTAAATTTCAAGTATCGGACCATATGGAAGTTAATTAAATATTCGATTTAGACTTATAAAATTGAGATTTGATTAGTTAGGTCTGAATTGGAGTTAATTAAGTTATACGAATTAGGAATTAAGATTATTATGAATTAAATTTATCTATGAGGTGTTCAATTGAATATGTAATTTATTGACGAAGATTTTGAAGTTTAATCTGAAATTAAAGGCCGTAATGATTTCAGAAACCAAAATTGAGGTTGAAAATAAGTTTAATTTAATATTTTGAGTCTTTTGAGAATTTGATTAAAAATTTGATTCAGATTGATAAATTTAATTATGATAGATTGGGTTTTAATGGAAGTCAAATTAGATTAATTAAATTATGTGAAATTTGTGATTAATTATGATTAATTAAGCTAAGTGCTAATTAAATTAATACATAATTAGCAAGATAATCCAATATTGCTCTAATTGATTAAGATGTTGATTTATGCTTGAGAGACTTCTAGAAAAGTTGAGAGCATTGCTAGACATCCATCATCTATATGTATATGAAAAGGAAAAAGGAACTCAACACTGCAGAAAATTCAGCTTTTAGTGGCGTTTAAAAAACGCCGCTAAAAATGTCAAAAACGCCACCAATTCTTTTTGTGACGCTTAACACCAAACGCCGATGACGCGGCCGTCGCTATAGCTTTATGGCGTTTTAAAAACGTCGTGATATTAATATAGGCGGCGTTTTTAAAAACGCCGCCAAATGTCCTCCTAAACGCACGCTGACGTCACTGACGATATTTAGCGACGTTTTTTGAAAAACGCCGTCATATCTTTTTAAACAAATACGACCGTTAATATGTAAGGTTTCAGAGGCATTTGTAAAAACGCCGTTATATCCTTTTTTTTTTTTTTTGGGAAATTGTACTAACTTTATTTGATTGAACTAAAAAAATATCTGTAATAACACTAATATAAAATAACAACTCCCATTCAAATAGTTGTAATGAAGCATTAATTCACTTTCTCATTCAATTAATATCCAATCACCATTACCCACAAAATTAACATATCCAAAATCCAAAACGTTAACCACAAACTAACATATATCCAAAAATCATGTCTTAACATTAACCACAAACTAACATATATACAAAAATCATGTCTTAGCATTAAAGTTGTAGTCTTCACTGGTCTACATGCCTGCATCATAACATAAACTGTAATGAGATTCACCAAAATAAACACAAATTGAAGAATTCGTACCCAATACTTATAAATAGTACTTAAAACTTGAAGAAGCACTAACAAGAAGATTTTATCACATACCAAGAAGCACTAAATACATATAAAGAAAAAATAAAAATAAAAATAAAAATAAAAACGCTTTTCAAATTTGAATCCAACCAAAAATCTGGGCCAATGTTGAATGCTTATTGTTGAATACAGTTTGTAACACAAGAAAGACTAGAAACTTACAGTTTGTAGCATCATCCTCATTCATTCCCAAGAAGAGAGAAGCATCTTGAATGCTTATTGTTGAATAAGCAGCTAGCAGTAGCTGAAACATCTTTGAATAAACACCAATCAAAAGGAGTAATATTATGATTTGCCTCATGAAATAATCTCTTAAAACAAAGGCACAAGTAAAATAGGATACAAAGCAGATAAGGCAATACACTCAAAATATGCATATTTAAACAACCATTTTAATCCCAGTAATTGAGGAATAAAACTTCAAACAAAATCAACTAGGCAACAAACACACTCAAGCATGTGATGAATTAATTTCACTTTCACTACTACAGATCATATACTTTTCAGATAACCTGTTTAGAGAAGCAATGTGATCAATCAATTTCGTAGCAAACCATGAGAAAGTTCTCAATGCAATGCAAAGAAGCTCGGCAAAACTATACAACTCACAAGTCAACTACTATTGTACCAAGAATGAGTGATGAAATTGCATACACCTCCGGAAACACAAGAAAATAATGTAATATGAATGTATGATAGAATCCAAAATTGAAGATTAGGTAGAATAGTGTGACATAGAAATCTTGGTATACCAGAAAACTAAGACTATTTTCAGAACAACAATGCTAAAAAAAATACATAAATGATTTTGTTCTAAATGCCATGCAAAACATAGAAAGTTCCATGCTTTGCTCAAAATAACATGCCAAGGTATGTGACCACAAGTTTAGAACTCATTAATATTTAACAGGTTGCCAAATTTTTTATGCAAATCTAAAGAAAAATAGAAGCCCAAATACCTGCTGCTTCAGGTCATAAGGATCAGCTCCTTTCTCCTTCATATCAGCAGTCTTTGCAGCTTCTCTCTCAACCTCTTTCTCATAGGAATGCATCTCCTTAACGATACGTTTGCAAGTAGACGTCTTGATTTTCAGATTTCTAAGAGTTGCCATGTTAAGCCTGTTAAAGGAGACATTACCCTGTGAAAAAACCTTTTTTCACACAAACAAAACCAGGTGATGAAAAAAAGCATCACAAGTTCACAAATCTGAAACTGTGTGCCTCATCTCATCCAATCTTTGAGGCACCGAACAAAGTAGCAGCCCGAGGTTTTTTGAAGCTTCAGGCTAAACATCTAAATGAAGCCTTATCTTCGGAAAATTGGGACCTTCATTAATAAGATTTTTTTATATACATATTTTTTAGGCGGGTCTTGAGTGAAAGGGTAAATGGCTTAATGGTTGAGCCACCTCTGCATCAAAGCAGTAGAATCATGTGTTTTCCACCAAAACATAAAACAAAAAGATATATTCCTGCAAAACACAAGATCAGAATGTTTATCAAGTTCCTGCAAAACACATAGATAACAGCAATAAGCATGGGAAAAATGACTGTATCTTGACACAAGATCAGAATAAAACCTTCATATGTTACATGACAGGCAGCAGCCACAGCACTTCTTTTTTAACATTACACACAACCAAATATATACTTGTTGCACCTGTCCTCCTGTTTGACAATCCCTGCATCATTTATCCAACAATCATGTACACAATGTCTACCATACCATCCATTCCAAAGCTAGAAAATTTATGAAATGCAAAGCATCAAATAAAAAAGTAAATACAAATACAGTCACTATATCTGAATCTAATCCAATGGCAAAAAGTAAATAAAAAAGCTAGAGGAAACGACATGCTCATGCTTGAATATCTTTTGCTGCTTTAAGATATGCTGTTGCAAAGGGGATTCAGTACCAGATAAAGTGCAGAAACATGCCTGCAATAGTATCCTTGGTGTTGATACAGCAGTAAAACCAGTTGCTGTTAAAGGAGATAGAAGCAAATCTGTGTTGTTTGATGCATCCATGTTGGCCAAAGAGATGAATAAATTAGGAGAGGAAAAAAAATGGCTTCGGGCCGCCCACGAGCTGCGGGCCAATTTTACACTCTTATCAATGTGAATGTTAACATGTCAATGTGAATATTCACATTGTCAAAGGGCCGGGCCGGGCCGGGCCCGCCCCGGGCAGCGGGTGGGCTTTTGGTCGTCCATGGGCCGCGGACCAATTTTATACTCTTATCAATGTGAATGTTAACATGTCAATGTGAATATTTAAATTGTCAACGGGTCGGACCGGGCCAGCCCCGGGCCACCCATGGGCCGTGGGCGGGTTTCGCGCCGCCACGGGACGGGGGCCAATTTTACACTCATATTAATGTGAATGTTAACATGTCAATGTGAATATTCACATTGTCAACGGGTCGGACCGGGCCGAGTCGGGCCCGCCCTGGGCTGCTGTCTAGTTTTATACTCTTATCAATGTGAATGTTAACATGTCAATGTGAACATTCACATTGTCAACAGGCCGGGCCGGGCCCGTGGGCAGGCCGTGGGCGGGTTTCGGGCAGCTACGAGGCGCGGGCTAATTTTACACTCCTCTATTAATGTGAATGTTAACATGTCAATGTGAATATTCACATTGTCAACGGGCCGGACCGGGCCCGCCCCGAGCCGCCCATGGGCCGCGGGCGGGTTTCGCGCCACCACGGGACGCGGCCTAATTTTATATTCTTATCAATGTGAATGTTAACATGTCAATGTGAATATTCATATTGTCAACGGGCCAGACCGGGCCCGCCCCGAGCCGCCCATGGGCCGCGGGCGGGTTTCGCGCCGCCACGGGATGGGGGGCCAATTTTACACTCCTATTAATGTGAATATTAACATGTGAATGTGAATATTTACATTGTCAACGGGCCGGCCCGCCCTGGCTTGCGAGCGGGTTTTGGGCCACCCACGGGCCAATTTACATTCCTACCAATGTGAATTTTAAAATATGAATGTTCACATCATTAAATTGCTAATCGTTAAAAAAATATTTATAAGGGTATCAAAATTAAATATAAAGGCATAAGTGTCCAAGAAAATAGTGTAAATCAAGAAAATAGACTTTATGGAATAAAACTATACATACATGGGACTAAATGGGTTAAAAAATTTCTTTATGGACTTCTTGGGTTAAAACACTTCTAAATTGGACTTATCAATAAAAATCTCTATAATCAAATATGTTTTTAAAAATTATCTTCTAAAAATATATTTTAAAAGGCAAATCAAACACACCCTACATTTTCAAACTATTAGGAATGCAATTTCCGCACTTTTCCATAAGATTCTTACATTCTTGGAGAAATGTTACGCAAAAAAAATAGAAAAATGACTTGGACCCCAGTTGGGACTGCTGGGGGTCGCCTATGATTGGGCAAAAAAGAACAGTTTTTTTTTTTTTGGTTCCTGGCCAATTCCAGGCCGACACGTGGCACTGGGGGTCAGTGGAGGCTGTCCGTACTGGAGGTCTGTAGCATTGTTGAAAAAAATAATAAATAAAACATAAAAAATTGAGCCCCCAATATTTGAAATTTGCATTGAGGATTCTTAACAAAACCAAATGCTTGAACAATATTGGCACACGAGATTTTATTACTAGGCAATGAGATTCTCATTCTCCTTCCAAATTTCTATCATTCAAACAGTCTTAGATAGAATTTTTTTTTTTTTCTCATTTTCTGTAGAATATTAGTGGGTCAGTAGAATTAGATTACTACAACAAGACAACACTATTCTATTAATTTCAACTTAAAACCTCACCACCTTACTAGTACCTACGCACCCCTTCATAATCACTTGGGAGCATCTCCAACGGTAATAGATATTTTACTTATCTAAACATTATTATAAAGTATATATTTTATTTTACCTATCAACTGTTTTATGTTTCTACTCCAATTATGCTCTTTGTTTTAGTTATTTATTTAAATATTATTAACTTTATAGGATGCCACACTAGTAATAAAAATTAAGAGAAATGATCCTAATGATTAAATATATTTTTCTTAACCTTGAAGGCTAGCTACATGCAGTTAGTGAATGTGAGTTGAGTTAAAATACCTAATTATATGATTAGTATATTGGAGTTGAAAAAAGTGAGTCATATTAGATATTTTGACTAACAAGTATTATATGCTTAGTGGGATAGAAATCTCTTACAACCTGAGCAAGCTTTTAAGATTGTGAATATTATATATATATATATATATATATTTGTATTACCATAGTTGTATATCCATTACTTAGCCTCATCCTTCACTATATATAGGACATTGTATTCATTATTTATATTCATTCAATTTAGGGTCTTTTGGGAAACAAAAAAAAAAAAACAAAAAAACAAAAAAAAAGGCCAATTTTTAATTTTTTATCCATTTTAGATCACATCACATCTCATATTTTTTATCTACAAAAATACAAAATAGATTAAAAAAGCTAAAAAATTAATTTTTTACCAACCTCCTAAAACAGGAAAATGTTTGGGACCCCTTTAGAGATGAACCCCAACACTCCCAAAATGATTCTGGCTCTCTATGTATGTGTGCAGTTCACATCATAAGCGGTTCAAATTTGTGAGAGTCGTGTGGGGATGAAGGTCTCAATCATTACTCAAAATAAAATATAATCTCACTTTTTATTTGATTATAATGAAAAACATGGCAGAAAAGAAAATGAAAGGGAAGTGCAATATCACTTTTGGTCTTTTAGATTTACTTTTGATTTTTTCTTACTATATTTTTTAACTTAACTAAAGATAAATACCAATCCTATCAATTTTTTCTCGTCAACCTTAATATAATTATTATTGAGTGTAGTGCATCTTAATGTAATTATTATTGAGTGTAGTGGATGACAAGCAATATCACTAATCCATAGTTTCTTTGAAAAAAATAAAAAATAAAATAATATAAAAAATAAAAACATATCTCTATTTGTTTATTTGTTGGAGCCCCAAAGTCAAGTAAACCTGCTGTCCAAAAATAAAAATAAAAAAAGTCAAGTAAGGGTTCGTTTGGCAAGAAGAGTTTGGGACTTTTTTGACTATTTTAGCCACAAAAGATAAAATAGATTATTTTAGCCACAAAAAATAAAACATCACATCCAACCCATAATCATTACACTCTTCTCTCACAAAAAAAGTCAAAAAAGCCAAAAAGTCTTTCCCAAACCAAGCTTTTTAGCCCAGGCTAAAATAGCCAAAAAATCAAAAAGCCAAAGAATAAAACGTCGAGGAATGTCTCGGCGAGGCCTGGGCAGTGTAGAAAATAGATCAAATCGAAGAAGCTTTGCTCCATTATCGATCGGTATCTATGCAGATACGTGTATGTACATGAGAGAATCGATAAATATACATATATGTATATGTATATACAAAGTAGAAGAGATAAGAAGATGAGGTGCTAAGCCATGGAAGCTTGCATAGATGGTGGTGGCGGTGGAGCTTTGAAATTGAGAGAGAAGAGAAATCAAAATCGCTCTGAGATGAAATCAAAGATGAATCTCTGAGAGAGATCTAGAGAGAGAATCGAAATCGGGGTGGCAGTGCAGACCGATCTGAATCGAAATCGCGGTGGCGATGCAGATCGATCTGAAATCGGTGAATCTGTGAGATTTGAATCGGTGAATCTATGAAATCGGTGAATCGATGAATCTCGCTACCTCGCCGGTGCAGATGGCGGTGGAGGTAGAGCTTCGAAATTGGTGAATCTGTGAGATTTGAATGTGAGATTCAATGTTTAGAGAGGATTGAGAGAGAGGCGACGTGAGGATAAGGGTTAGAGAGGATTGAGAGGTCTGAAGACCTAAGGGTTTACAAAGGCTTTATTATCAGATTCAAAATAAGCGCGTGTGACGTACCGCATTTGAAGGCGTTTTTTAAACGCCTTTGATCATAAAACGGTGTCGTTTTAATTAAACAAATATGCGACGTTTTTAAAACGTCGTTAAATATTAATAAAAATGACGTTTAAGAAAACGCCGTTAAAAAAACGTCGCCAAAACCCTTATTTCTTGTAGTGCAATCAGGTTGTAGGAAGGAAAAAGCCAGCGAGAGAGAGAGAGAGAGAGTCCAAGTTAGTACTATTTCTGGAAATGGAGAAGGACTCAAGGAAAAGCTATGGATTAAAGAAAGAAATGAAGGAAAGAAAAGTAAAGGGGATGTAGAAGGGAATCAATTAAAATGCTGAAATTAAAGTTTAAGGTATGAAATCATGTTTAATTTTTATCGAATCTTTATATTACACTTGAAATCAAAGATGAAATTGGACTCAAAATCATGTAATTAATAGGAATTAGCAAGAAGATGAAGAAAGTTGAAATTATGTTTAAGATTATGGAAATAAATTTGGAAATTAATTAGTTAGAGTTTGATTTTTGTTATTCTTCATAAATTGAAACCCATCCTTACATGCATGTTAGAATTTCAAGGTTTTAGATTTAATTCATGTGTAAAAGACTTATAAGTTTAAATTTGGGTTAGATATGAAGAAAATTAATAAAAATCTAAATTAGAGTAATTCAAGAATTAAATTATGATTTGCTTGGGAAAAATATAAAATCAATAGTTTTGATCCTAATTTCATACATGCAAATATTTATTTGAAAGAGTTTGTAATTTTAATTTCATGATTTAAGAGGAATTAGTAAAATGATGAAGAAATTGAATTAGATTCAAAATTATGGAAGTAATTTGGAATTGGGTTCTAAACATAAAATGGGTTACATGCATGTGGATGATTATGGAAAATAAATTAGAAATTAATTATTTTGGG